TTGACCCCACGATTGACCTTTCACAACCAGATCAACATCACTGCTTTGAATGCTTGCATCGTCATTGAAGGGAGGCACAAAGAAAATGTTGAGCTCACTCAAGCGCCGCAAACCACTCCCCCTATGGACATACATGTTGCGCTTTCTATCCCCATCGTGAGCCTCCCACAGAATCCCATGACTCTGAGTGCCCTCCTGCCTAAGACAGGGGAACATACGACTCCTCCCCTTCCCCTACTCGTGCCAACCATTAACTTCCTAAAGGGAGACAACGAGGAAGGCATTGTCTCACAAGACACTGTGCCCCACAGCTCCGCCTTGCCTCCTCACACTAAGCCCAACCGTGAACGTGGCCACATCTCGGCCTTAAAAGGCTGTGGGACATACCGCGTTGGCCAGTGTTAGAGCGCATGGGGGGTGGCAATCGAAGGCCCAACTCGCCACGCGTGGGTCGGTGTCCCGAACATCCCACCATCAAAGTGTACCTATTTGGCGTCAACTGACGTGACAACAAATTAACCTCCCATAAATACTCAATCATGAAGGGATGCAAGGGAAACCCAAACCCTTATCAAAACTCATGGGGTACACTCCAAAGTCCCCCAGAGGTAGCAAAAACATGTTATGCATCACCTTCGGCTCCCTCACCCTGCCATACGACCCCGTGTACATCTAAGCCACGTGTAAGTCACGCGACATGTTCTCTTGCTGAATAATGAGGAGGTTCTGGCGATCCAAGCGTGACAGACCTGGTCCCAATCCCTTCGCCGACGTGACCTACCCCTCCTCTTCTTGTTTCCATCCGGCTCGACCCCATGAACGACAGATATCAGTCTCGAGCAAGGAATGGCGGCCGATGTAGAAGCCTCACCCACCCCTCACAAGCGAACCGTGGCCACTTCGGCCTTAGATCCTTTGACATCGTCCTTAATTAGACTATTTGCTAGTATTCCCCACTTCAACATTAAAATCCTCCATGAGATTTAGCGGCACCTTCGGCTTCTCGTGAGTGTCCTCCTCATCAAAATCATAGAGCTCCTCGGCTTCAGTAGCTAATACAATAACTGGGACCTGAAGATGTTTTGTGAATCAGAGGATGGCATACCAAAAACACGAGACCTATGGGGGAACTAACCTTGAAGATTTGAACTAGTGAATAGACCTGCACAAAAACGGCCTCGCCCGCCCGGCCCTGCCAGCCCACCCATACAAATGGGCGGGCTTGGGCATATATCTCTACCCAACGGCCCGGCCCGAGCCTGGCCTGCATTAGCATATGGGTGGGCTTGGGTTAAGGTGTAGGCCCGTTCGGACCGATAAGCCCGACCCGCTACATTTAGTATATACACACATATATTTATGTATATACTAATTTATTTATTCATTCACATGTATGCGTGTATATTTATATTTACTAAATTATCTTTATACATTCTATAGTTTATTAAGTTTAAATTTAAATTTTTAGTTCTTAACAACTAGGCCAATCAATATAATATCTATTTTTGTACTTAAAGATAATACTTTGTACTTGAATTTTAAATTTTAGTTATAGTTTCTCATTATTATTATTTTTGTGTAAGTAAATTTTGTGTATGTGGTGAAGGCCTATAAAAATTATAAGTGTGTTATTTTTTTAATGTTGTAATATTACTTTAAAAGTATTAAAAAATTATGTTATTTTTGAATTTTTTAAATAAAAGTATTTCCCGGGCCAGACGGCCCGGTGGACTACCTGGCCCGCTCTTGCGGGCGGGTATGGGCATGGGGTTAGTCCCGTTTTTGCGGGCCGGGCTGGGCCTGCCCACACATAATGGGCAGAAAATTTATAAAAAGTCCGGCCCGAGTCCGGCCCGAACCCGTTTTTGTGCAGGTCTACTAGTGAAGAACACTTTATCTCTCTAAAAACTGGCACCACTTTGTTATAAGTCAAAAAGCAATTGAGAATGTTGCCTCGGAGGTGAGGTATTTATATTTAGAAGACGTGTCACACACTCTTAGTGGCCACACAAACGGTCACCTAAACTATGTTCAATCAACGAGTGCCACTTGTCCCACTCCCACATCAAGGCACAAGACACATTACGAGTCGACGCCTCGGTCACCAAACTTGGACACACGTCAGCTTAAGGAGCATCCTATCATAACGATATACTTCACACCAGAGTAATGTTTCAACGACACACACCATTCTTTAGCCAGCATGAACGAATGTGAAGAACATCATTCCCCCTAAACCTCAACTCGGAAAAGAACAGTATCCCTCGGCCTCGGCAAGTAGAAACATGCTTCGAACAAAGCCCATAGGTGATAACCTTCGGCGAGCGACCTTCGTCCAAGGATTCTCCCACAAGGTTGTCTTGGTCAGGGGTTCCTCAAAAGGGTCGGATCTATGGACCCATTTGAAGGTTGCACACTTGCACCCTGACTTGAAGCACATCACCTACTCCTCAACCCGATAGAACTCTCGTCTTGAAGGAGTGGGGGGCTAGGGGACTCCATCTAGGCCAAGAACCCACACATTCAAAAATTATCATTCACAAGGGAAAAGGAACATCGACTACAAGCGAAACCAATCCACATTTTCTCCAACCAAAACAAAACATTCAGGAAGAGGTCCACCACGAAGACACCCCAACCAAGGATACGCTACAAGGTTTCCTCGGCCTAATTCTGGAAAATAAAAAGCACCAGACACACGAAATAGCAACACATTGGCAACAAAACTCGATGCCTCCTCGGCCAACCCCAAACTCAAGAGCACAACACAGAAATATTCTACCCCTCCACCTCGACACCTCTCGGCTCAGAGAGTGGGGGACTCCTAATAAAGTATATGGGCCTTGACCCCACGAGCCACATACTCATGAATATAAAGACAAGACTATAGACAGACTACAGACGACTGAAGTACCCCTCGGTTAGGCCCCCTCGGCCAGACGAGGGTCGCTCGCATAGAAAGCTTTCCAGAAATGAAGTGCTCCAGACATGGATTAGGATCAACTCCGGAATGGTCACCTTATCACATTGTACTTATCAAATTTACTTTGTGTAAACAGCTCAAATGCAGCATCATTGTAAACGAGCATCTCAAGCCCAAAGATTTGAGAACCCAATCCACATTTTCTCTATAAGTGTGTGTGTGTGTGTGTGTGTGTGTATTAGACCTGTTTTTAATTTTATTATTTTTACAATGTTTCATCTTTTTAAAAAATAGTTTTAATTGCCCAAAAATATACTTATTAGCTTGTTGGTTCTATTATTCTTCTATGATATTTTATATGTGAACCTTCTAATTTATTCTTTTATACATATGATTTGCATTTTTTTGTCTCTTCAATCAATGTAATATTAATTATAATACATCAAATAAGTACAAATAAACACATCAACAAATCCAATTTTGACTATATAAATTTTATGCATGACCATATTATATTAGTACAAGAAAGGGATGTTCCTATTAAAATACTTTTATATCTTCACTTTTGTTACTCTTACCTTTTTTACTTTCTACAAATTACTTTATCTTTTTTTACCTTTTTATTACTTTTCTCTTTTTAATATACTCTCTTTGCGAGCTTTTCATTTACCCATACTCTTTATTTTACCTCTACTATTTTTTTTCTTAAAAATTGTGAAAAATCTAATAGAACAATTGTTAGAGAACGGAGAGAGAGTATAACATGTACACTTGTTACTCCCTCCGCATTTAAAAGTTTGCTACACTTTCCTATCTGGGATGTATATTAAAGTTTGCCATCGTTCTCTGTTTGACAGGGTTTTCCTTTTAATATATTCAATTACCTTTACTTTTTCTACTTTTATCTTTTGTTTCCTACTTTTTCATCTTCCCTTCTATTTTTTATACTATTCATTACCCCTACTATTTTCTCTTAAATATTGTGTCAAGATCTAATATAACGATGTTTTAAATACGGAGAAAATATTTTATTTTATTTAAACACACTGCCTAAAAAGTAAAGTGCAGGTTTTAATAATTGAACGGGTAAAACTCTTCTCCAGTAAATTTACGGCGAGAGGAGATACGGCGTTGTGAGTTTCAGAAGAATGGCGGTGGTCCTAGCATGGTCTAGGGTTTTTTGGCGGGCGGCGCTGTGAGTTTCACGGCGTGAGGGTCCTGAAGTTTTGCTAGCAAGCTTTTTGGTTGGAGTGCAGGACGAGGCTTTTGGGGTTTCGTGCTTGGAGGCTTCATTGTAGACCTTCAACCACTCACGATCGCGACCATTTACAGATTCTTTCTGTTTGCGATTCAGGGGGGAGGTTGTTGGAATACGTAACAGATCCAATTGTTTTTGACCAGCTGGACGGCCAAGAGCTGCTGCGAACAGGGAAGCGTCCAAGATTCATTGCGCGACAGAGGGTGGGGGCAGTGGTTTTTAGTGTTTTCAAAGGCGGCCATGGATCTGCGGCGACTAGGGCTGCGAGACCCCGATATTCCGATGATTGGTTTGGCTATTTTGGCTCTGGTGGTGACTGAGATGGGAGCTGCACCAGCTGTGTTTGATCCGGGTGGAACGCTGACAGTATGGGCTCTGGCTAAAGGGGGTGAATTTGGGCTCCAATCGACTGTTGGGGGATCAGCTGTGGTGTTTTGGCCGCCTCAGGTGGTGAAAGAAGAAGATGGTATGTGGGTGATTCGTCCCCCCTGAACCGCCGCCACAGAGGAATTACGCGACTAGGGTTTCGAAGACGGCGACACAACTAATATTTATTTATTTGTGCCATGTTCTGTTTGGTAATCTTTCTTTTGTTTCTATTAGGTCAAATAATAAGTGTGGTAGTTTCTTAGTTTGAGTTACCTTAGTTTTTAGATTTCTTTTGAGAGGCAACCAGGTGGATTCAGCCACTAATAATCTAAAAGCTCTCACATTTTCGGCGATTAGTCTCGCTTTTTTGGGGGTTGACTACTTACTCTGTGTATGATAAAGAAGTGAGGGAGCCGGGGACTTGTGGTTATGGAGGGAGGGTAGAGTCAGGTGGTTACATTTATTGTTTGCAATAAATGTTCCACGCCATCCCCTGTGTGGAGAAGATGGACGGCTCTGAATCATTCGCGGAAGGAATCTTCTTCTCCGCTGAAAAAGCGGGGGTTGATGTCCTTCTCAAACAAGCTGATCTCGGGTTGCACTGCGACTTTGCGTGCTTTGCTCGAGAGAGGGAGTTGGCCCTTTCTTGTGGGCATGTGATGAGCGATTGCAAACAGCCCAAAATCCCTTTGATTGGATGGAGCTGATTAGCCCCTAGTGCAGGGGAAGACCAATTTCTTCGAGAAGGCCTCTTGATCGAACTCATGTTCTGAAGCTGCATGGACTTGTAATTTGTTCAGTGTTTGCTTAATTTAAAAGCCACGGAGCATGTAGTTCATTCGCCTTTGTCTCTGGTTTCATCACCACAACCATATCATTGTATGTTTATAAACATTCTGTTTTTTACTGCACTGCGGGCCACTGAGTGAGTGTTTGCATTTCCTATCTATCTAATCTTTGACCATTTTTTACTTTCTTAATGCACATGCTCATCCTAGTAGCCTTCCAAAAGGGTGGGGGTAAAACAAATGCTCAGGGGAGTGCACACTTTTTTCTAACTCAATAACATTGTGACTTTGGTGGTTCTTTTTTTAATAAAGCTAATTTAGTTTCATACTCAATATTACAAGTTCGTATATAATTAGCTAGAGTTGCTCAAGAATATATAAGTTCTTTATGCTTTGCTGAATTGATATCATTAAAGGAGAGACTGATTACCAAAATTTATCTAGATTAATAATGATTATTAATTGTTAAAAAATTATTTTCAACTATAAGATAAAAAAACATTTCAAAAATAGATATAACTTATTTGAACCATTATTATAAAAATAATAGTTCAACAAAGGTTGTAATATAATAAATATATTTTAAAATAATTTTGATAGTAAACAATCGAAGACAATGAAATTCAAAAATAGATATTTGTATTTTGGACAACTCCCAACCTGCATGTGCCATCACATTTATTCTGCAACTCGTGCAGATTAACCCATGAATCTGGTGAGTTCACCGGTATAAAAAAAATGATATCTCTAAGAGCCCGTTTGACACCACGAAAATCGGCTTATTTGGCTAATTCTGCTGAAATTTATGAAGTTTTGGCTGAAGTGGCTGTATTGGCTGATTCTGCTTATTGAAGAAAACGTATTTCTAAAATATATTTTATTAATAAAATAAAGAAAAAAATATATGTAAAAGTAGCTAAAATGCTCATCTACAATAACATCAGCCAATACAGCCAGAAAAGTAACTTCAACCTTACTTTTTATACTTATTACACAATTCAGCGCGCGAAAGCAAAAGTTACGTGTTTGGTGAAAAAGTTGGCTGATAAGCCCGATACTGAAAAACAATGTCGCCAAACGGCCTATAAGTCTCTAAACCATCATGAAATGGGATGAAATGAGCTAGACATATGAACTTTGGCTCATTTCGACAATTTTATCCATAGTCTAATTAAATTCTCCTTTTAATTATGAATGAGAATTCACTATCCTACAATTTGAAGAAAAACTTCAAGGACATCTATATCTATATCTATATCTATATCTATATCTATATCTATATCTATATCTATATCTATATCTATATCTATATCTATATCTATATCTATATCTATATCTATATCTATATCTATATCTATATCTATATCTATATCTATATCTATATCTATATCTATATCTATATCTATATCTATATCTATATCTATATCTATATCTATATCTATATCTATATCTATATCTATATCTTCTATATATAATACATTTCAAGGTTACATTTGGGGAAAGTTTTGTCATGTGTCATGCTCTAAGGGAACTCATTAAAATACTCTCTTAACAATTAGGGAAAGTCACGTACAAAGCATTAAACTCACGTACAACCTTTAGAATTCCTTAAAGGAAACAAAAACATTGTCCTGGAATGAAACAAACTCTTCGTAATTAGATTCAAAGGAATCCTAGAATGAAACAAATACTTTATCCTAGAATGAAACAAATTTAATCTATATATAAACCAATCACGTCATATTTTTGGCCAAGTTTTATTGGACAAAGGGAGTGTACAAATATAATAACTAAAATCATTGTCTAAAATTTGAAATCATTTACCAAGAAAATTCAATATGATGAACCTTTTTTAGATGGAGGTAGTATTATAAATTAACTTTACATACATACATGTATTCCAAATGTAGAACATGTATAGTAATTTTTAAAATCTTATTTTTAATACTTCTTTCCAATAATTTTAAAAGTACAATTAAGAATTATGGAAAATTTGTCGTGTTCGATTAGAATTTCACAAAATTCTATACTTTATTTATGTAAACTTTCTCAATATCCAAATGGGCTAATAGATTAGGGTTATGTTTGGCACTTTGAAATGTAGGTGGAAACAAATTTTTGAATTAAGGATTATTGTCTGAAATATAGACTATTTTCTAGAAATGAATTTTGAAACGCTGCATCCAAACTGTTAGTTACGTTAGATGAAGTAAATCTGTTTGGCAAAAAGAGTTAAAAAATTCTCGGATAATATGACTTGATCAGATCAAATCATATAGATTGGACCAGATCCGATTAGAATAGACAAACCAGATAAAAAAAATCAGTCCAATTAAAAACGTTTTTAATGGAGCCCCTTCCTAAAATTTAGAACTTCTTATAGATTAGATTTCAAACAATCTCTTGAAGTAATCATGAGTAAAATGTGGAGTTAATTAGCTTTCTATGCAATTATATAATCACTATACATAGTATACAAGCATAAGTGAGATAGACATACAAAATTAAATTAGCTTATAATGAGTTTTTTCTGAAGGAAAGCTTATAATGGAGTTAATCATTCATACTTTAAAAGTATTCATGAGTAAATTTTTATTTGGTACCAAAAATTGAGATGATGGCACAACCCCTTTAAATAAGGGTGTGAAGATTCTATTCTTATTTTCGTATGAGAATGTGGAAATGAAATGAAAATTTTGAAACTGAAGTGAAAGAAAAAAACTCAATAAGATAGAAGGTCACTGTAAGTAGAGTGAAAGAAAAGAATTAGTTCTCTGTAATAATGTAGAAGGGGAAATGGTAGGATGACATAAGGCTAGAAAAAATAACCCTTTAAATATTATTTAATTCAATATAATACAGAGTAACTACAAGTATTAAACAGAAATGAAAGTGGAATACAAGTGAATACAAATCTATTAAGCACCCCCAAATCATTTCAATAAAATATTGTTTTAAGAAAATTCTAATAACTTCCAAATCATTCCTAAAATGGGAAAAAGAGTGAGACATCATTAAATTAAAGTGAAAAAAATAAAATAGCAAGACTATATACTCCCTCCATCCCTTAAAACTTTGTCATCTTTCCTTTTTTGGACATCCCAAAAAAATTTGTCACTTTTCCTTTTGATCAATATTTTGTGGTTCCTGTTATTTCTCTTTACTCTACACAAACCTCAATCACACAATATTTACTTTATTATTTTCCGTGCTGGTCAAACTTGACAAAGTTTTAAAGGCCGGAGGTAGTATGTATTAAAATTTGGCAAATACAAATTTGTCTTAATGCTATCTCAAATTTAAGTTCACCTTTCTCAATAAGGATATTTTCAATTACAATCGATTTTTTTCTCATTTATGAAAGTAAAAGTTATTTTTACTTTAGTGTATATATTAATACAATCTTGATATATTTTGGCGGAGAGTTTCAACTCTCGGAAAGCTTTATTAATTTCATATTTCATATATAACAATTATATCGTGACACTAAAAGTGGTGTTTAAGAGTTAGATAAATAAGCTAGACCATGCATTTTTTTTACTCGAGGGGGGTCTGGGTGAGGGGGAGTTGGGGGGCCTGGAGTAATCTGGGCTGAAACTCAGCCCATTGAGTCAGGGCCGGCCCTGGGCAAGGGCAACCCGGGCTTGTGCCCCGGGCCCAATATTTATAGGGGCCCATAATTTATATATACATATATGTGTATAGGTATATACATATTTAAAATTTAAAATTAAAAAGTGAATTGCAAACCTTGGGAGTTACTTTCCTTTTGACGGTTTGTTTTTCCATTAAAAGCATTAAATACGATTAATGGCTTAATGCTTTACCTAATTTTAAGGCTAAGACCGTTTATTAGAGAATAGAAAGTCTTTGGACTCCTCGTTTACCATATACAGCCCACTGATTATACCGCCACAGACATATACAGATTAACGGAGTATATATCAATTATAGAAATCTTCCCCTTCAATACTTCAATTTTTCCAAATCTCCGGAATTCAGCTCTCAATTTCCAAGCTTTCCTCTCTGCCCTTTGGTGGCCGGACATTAGTTCAGTTTAATCAGCGTCCTTAGCGATCAAGTGATCAACACTCTCGGACTCTCGGACTCCTGGGCTCGTAGTTTAGTCTTGTAGAGTGCAGTTCTTCGGTTCTTCATTAACTATTAGGTGCTATTGTTCTTTTATTATAATTTTATTTATAATGTTTCCAAAAAAATACTTATCTGGTAGTCAAAAAAGAAAAAGAGATGTTGGATAGTATTAATCTTGATACAATTATAGATGATTTTGCATCTAAAAATGCTCGAAGGAATATATTTTTGTAATTTGTGATATTATTTGATGAAAAACTTGTCTTGCTTTGTATGTTGAAATTTGCTTTTATATAGTTAAGCTTTTGCAATATTTTTATATAACATTTTTTAGGGCCTTTTTTTTCAATCGCCCCGGGCCCATAAAATGTCAGGACCGGGCCTGCATTGAGTTCCGAACCCTTATGTGCCTAGCGGGTTTCGAACTCAAGACCTCCCACTAGACACGGTAACCTCACAACTAGCTGGGCTAGAATGCTTGGTTAAGCTAGACCGTGTATAATAAGTATAGAGTAATTTTTTACTGATGGATGTAACTTTAATATGGGAGGCGTTTGTCTTTTTATTTTTCATTGCATAGTTTGACATTTTAAGTTTGGATAATAGCTAACTCTTGATGCGATGAGAATCTTTTTGTAGGTTTTATTCATCTAGCCTTCTAGGTAAAAATTGTCCATTAAAATTCTCAAGCATGCAACTTTTTCTTCGTTCAATAACACTTATCTTACTTAATAAAATCATACATAACTTCAATAACTCAATCTTAATGCAAAATAAATTGATCGCTGCCAATCACAATATGCAACCTATTGTCGCCGTCATCGCCTTCATTAAAATTAGAATGTCAGAAAACTATATATTCGAAACTATTTTCTTAAAGAAACAGATCAAAAGACTAATTTAAAAATTTCTAAAACCTGGAAGAGCTAATACTTAAAAAAATTGACTACACCCTTTTTTAGATAAATAACGTACAAAAGTGTGTAGTTAGTTTTGGAGAGAAAAAACAGTCAGCCACAGATGAAATTTAATGGATAAATATAGGAACTGAGCATTTTCTTTTTGTTTATGTAACAATAGATTAATTTTAATGGGATG